ACAAGGAACTACCTTCAGAACAGTCAGAGCAATACACTCCTCGGCCTCCTCCACCGGTATCGGGGGAAGGTTGTGGCCATTGAAGAATCCCGATGTGGACCAGATCTGGCTTGCCGGACAGCCACCCCGCTCCAACATCTCATGAGCAGGATCATAAAGGGAGATCCGCTCGAACTGACTGGCCAAGTCAGCCTGATGGGCAGCCACCTCCTCAGCAGAGAAATGGTGGGACTGCTGGTCAGAAAAAAGCTGATCCATCAGCGTGTCAGCATGGGTTTGCTGATTAGGAGCAACCTGCTGCACAGGTTCTACATCCCGAACAGGTTCAGGCTGCTCGGGGAGGAGGGGGGCGGATTGAGAGGATGTCCCTGATCGGCCTTCCTCAACCTTCTCCTCTTTGACTTCCTCTGCTGCTTAGGAGGGGAAGTTGGTGGCTCATCATCAAATCCCACAGTGAAGAGCCTGCTGTCATCCATTGCCGGCTGCTCGGGGTTGTCTCCTTCGGAATCTGAAGATTCGCCTTGCTTTGGAGCTGAAAAAACAAAAGGAACAAATTAGTACCGAGCGGTTCACACGTGGATTAAAAAGTTATATCACACGGGAAGGACCGCCCGGGCCATGGTACTTGGTTTTCAGTCAAGTAAGTCCAGGGATACGGGCAGTACCTATCCCGGCCTTAATTAGCCGTTCGGGGGTCAGGTAAGACATAATTTTGAAGCAGCCTCCTGCCTCCACAGCAATGACATCTCTGCTAAGCTCTTCGGAGATGAATGGCTCAGGAGATTTAGGAGGGAATGTGTTCCACTTCCTAGGAATTAAACCGTTCGGGACAGAGACGAAGAAGAACCTATCTTTCCAACCTTTAATGGAAGAGGGGGCATCACAGAACAAAATATGTCCTGGTCGGGAGCTTACCACCAGAAAACCGTGGGACTGCTGGGGGATAACCGAAAAGAAGTAGTGGAAAAGTTCTAGAGTAGGTATGACCTTGACGTTGTGACAACGACAAATGAAACCAGCTATCGACCGGTAGGAGTTCGGCATTATCTGAGCTGGTACTACATTGTAAAAATTTAAAAAGGAGACAAAAAACGGGTGGAGTGGAAACCTAAGACCGGCCTTAATTGAATCAAAGTGGACCACTACCATCCCAGGGAAATGACGCATTGGGTGAAGCCCGACCTGGAGTCGGAAATCCACCGAGTCCGGGATCATCATTTGGATTTGGGCCCTATTTTGGGCCATAAGTTTTTGACGCATCAGCCTAATTAGGGCTAGGTCAAGCTTATGGCAAGAAACGCCGCTTGGGGGACCAGCTTCCATGGCCTCCATTTCACCCCCGGATTTGGTACCATCGGGATAAGTTCCGGATGAAGAGGCATCGTCGTGGGGGATCTCCGCCGGGATAGGAGTGACCTCCAGTGCCAGGCTAGGAGTATTCTCAGGGAGATCAACGTTTGAGGTAGAACACTCGGAGGGACGAAGACGGGTTGCCATACCGATCGAACAAGGAGGATAGAAGAAAAACAAAGGCCAGAAAGTACCTGAGCGAGAACTAAGGGATAGCTCTAGAGAGAAGGATGAATGGTAAGCCGGAGATGCAAAGTTTCGAAACCCAGAATCAAAACCAGAAGAGCCTATTTATACTCTGTCACGCCGATTCAGCTGCCAATCAGAAGAGGACACGTTTTTTGTAATGATGACAGAGACACGTGTCACACAGAGAATCCTTCTCAGGTAATCATGGCGTTTATCGGAGAAGTGAAACGGCAGTTGCAAATAACCGTCAAAATATGCCTCGGGAACCGGCGGAACGCCATCCGATACTCACCCGAACAGCATTCGGGCAATAATTTTCTACTTCCTTATGCACTCTCTACCGTTCGAGACATAGGAAGTGGGGGACTAGTGTTGGGATATTGGGTCCAGGCCCAATATCCCTAGGCCCAAATCCAGGAAGAAGCAGCGGGCCCAAGGCAGTCCAAAAGAACTCTCGAACGGCATTCGGGATAAAATTTATACTTGGAACATTCCGGGAAACAATTATGCCAAATCATCAAGGCCAGGTATCGATCGGCGTTCGGGATATGTTCCTAAGCAGGATAACACCTATGGCGGGGTCCCACACACCGAACACCCTGCCCGAACGGGCAATCATCAAGTGGAGGCCGCATTTAATGCTGGATCATGACGACAGCAAGTGGAGGCATGGGTGTATACATGGCAGAAGTGACAGCCTACCGGATTTGACCACGTGTCCACCTCACCCATTTCTATTTTAGTATAAATACCCATGTTTAGATCATTGTAAAGGGTGAGCATTTTAACACTCAGAGCTTAAGCAATAGATTTACATCTCCCATCCTTGTAATCCCATATTCATCTACCGTTCGGGTAGTTTCAGTGTAATTGCTTAATTACTGAATATAAGTAAGTTCTTGAGTTGGATATTAGCTCACTGTTTTATATTTTATACACATTTTCAACCCTACCCCAGATCCCTACAATATCCAAGGCTTGTGTTGGGCTTTCGGATCTTCGGGAATAAACTTCAACACTTATATACCATGTATATTGTACGTAGTAGTGTACTACCTATATACAGAAACAAATTTTAAGTATTTATTTAAAATTGATCACAAATAATAATAATAATATATGAGAATATTTGGTACAATCTCTAAATATGAATCCTCTGATTCTTCACTTGCAATTTGATATGAATATAATTAAAAAATTTAATTAAAAAATTAAATCTTTAATTCTTCAAATATTAGAACATTCTTCGGATCTTTGAACCTTCGTTCTTCGGATCTTCAAACATTCGTTCCGAAATAAACATGATTATTACGATGTAGTTTCGCTGTTCATCAGGTACTGTCACCTGTCATGATCAAACATATCACAAGTATACAAGTTCAAATACAATTATCACAAAGTTCATAATCACATCATATCCCTACACTTCACATACATATCACTCAAACCATAACTTAAAACATGATCATATATAATTAATTAGCACACAAAAGTAGATAAAGAGGCCGTTTAACAACACTGATTTTTAGCTTATCAATCAACTTTTTCACCAAACACGTAACTTTTGCTTACGCATGTTTAAATCGCTATTCGGATATTTCATTATATTTCTGTCCCCTATAGTTCTATTTCCTGGATCCGCCACAGGCGTCAGCCAAAACAGTCTATTATCGTTCTAGCAAACGAGCTCGATCAAAAAGTATGGGGCTATGGGCGTTACAATATCCCACCTCCAACAACAGTTAAACGGTGTTCAATCTTTAAACTATCCCACCTCCAATATGTCATGTACGAAGTTTAGATAGTCGCGAGTGGAGATCAATTTAGGTAGTACTCCCTCCGTCCCGCTATGATTGTTCCATTTTACCTTTTCGGTCTGTCACATTAAGATTGTCTCATACCCTATTTGGTAAAGTTTGTGTGGTTCTAAATCATTCATACTCTATTCTTACTTTATCAATTAGTTATCAACCACATATATTCATTTTTATTAATAATCATGTCACTTTCTCTTGTCCCAAACTTAGGGGGACGGAGTTGTATCATTTACTCCGTATATGCTTTGACCCAGGGGCGTAGCTAGGGGTGGGCCAGACCTGGCCCTGGCCCCGCCAGAAATTTTAAAAATGCTTTTACTTTTAGTGTAAAAAATTTTATGTAATTTTTTTTTTCAAAAATATTCTTTGTACCGGCCCAGTCTGGCCCAGTGTTTGGGCTCCGCCCCTGCGAGTTTGACCGACGGGGCATGCTTGAAGTGCAGAAAGATTGAATACTCCAGTCCGTAAGGAAGCAATTAATCATCTGTTTAATCACAATAAAAGATTGAATGTAGAGAGTAGCATGTTACAAAGAAGAATAGAATTGATGCGACGACATAGATGAGGGGTGATGGGATCAGAGGGGTGTTTCGGGGTTGAGGTGAATAAGTATCCCTAAAGTGTTTGGAAACACCAATTTCAAGATTTTTTAAGCAAAAAGCTAGAAATTGTTTTTCTTAATCCCTTGCAAACATTCACTTACTTTATTTGATGTGAAAATAAACTCTATTGAAAATATGTTATTTAGAGTCTATTTGATAATATTGAAATCGATTGATTTTGCTAAAATTTATGAAGTTCTGGCCAAAGTTATTGTATAGGCTGATTTTACTTATTTATAAAAAAATTATATTAATAGTATATTGTATTAATAAATTAAAGAAAAATTATATGAAAAATAACTAAAATATTTGTCTACGGTAATTTGAACCAATACAACTACATTGAAAAGTAACTACGGAGTATAAAGTTATTGTTTTTTAATTATTACACAATGCAGCACGATAAATAAAAAATTACTCCAATCGTTCCCCTAAGTTTGTCTCGTTTTTACCTTTTTCGTCGTCCCATTAAGTTTGTCTCATACCATACGAAATACTACGTATTAGGTAATGTTTGAGTGGTTAGCATTCATTCTTACTTTATTCACACTTTATCAATTCAATAACAATCACACAATTCTATTTTTTCTTAAAAACCGCATTACATCCCATTCTCCTAAACTCCTAAACTTAAGGAAACGGATGTAGTAGAAGTTTAATTAAAAAGTTATCCATACGCGTGACAAGATGAAAAATAAATCTCACAAGTTTAGTCTTAAGGAGTGTTTGCAATTGCTTCTGCTTAAAAAAAGCATTTGAAGATGTAAGGAAAAAATGATTAGTAGTAAAAATTGATAGTGTTTGAGAAAAAAGTGATTTTGAAAAGTAAAAAGTTGGTAGTGTTTGGTAAAATAAATGCTTTTCGTGTAATAGAAAAAGAAAAAATACTTTTGACACGCAAGCCGAGAAAAAGTAAAAATTAGTAGTGTTTGGAAAATAAATGTTTTTTAAAGCCAAAAGTTGAGAACTATTTTTTTTAAGCAGTTACAAACACTCCCTTATTCAATTTTAACTATGCACGCTCTACGAAAAATCTAAGCCAGTCCGTTGTCCTCATGTGCTCGTTGGGTTGAAAGAGTAGCTTCTCTCTCTTAGCCAATTTCATTGTTAACCGGGCTCCAGTCTGAAGCTACTTCCTCTGTCCAGCTAAGAAAGAGATGCTTTCGTTCTAATGGCTACATTTCACCCGAGCAAAACTGAGATGGATGGGGATAGAATTAGCCAACTTCCCGCAGATGTAAAGGACTTGATTATGGAGTGTTTGGACACTCGTGATGCTGCCAGAGTAGCTGTGCTCTCAACTCAATGGAAGGATGTTTGGTTGAGACATGGCCGGCTTGTCTTCAATTACCGCTACTTTCGACGTAGACGTAAACCCTCGACTTTCATCAACATGGTAACGAACATTCTTATGCTTCGTTCAGCACCTGTTAAGAAATTTGAGTTTTTGTATGCTGCTGTGGATGTTAGGGATCGTTGGTGTAAGCCAAAGCAGTCTGATGTAGATCAATGGTGTCTTTTCTTATCAAGAAATGGAATTGAGCAACTTAGCATATGTGTTACGAATTTGACTGAAGAAGGGTGTTATAACCTGCCACATTGTATAATCTCATGTTCCACACTTAAGCGACTGAAACTAGCTGGTTTTCTTTTAGACTACCCTGTTACTGCTGGACTCAGTAGTATATTTACTCATGTCACATCTCTAGTTTTTGTGGGTGTTGTCTTTATCCATACTGTCAATGGAAGTACTATAACCATTGTTCCTAATCTTGAGGAGCTGGTCTTCCAGGCGTGTCAAGGGATCCATAATTTTGTGATCAGTGCTCCTAAACTTAAAAGCTTGACTGTTTCCTTCTCTAGGCACATTGCTGAATGGAAATGGTTTCAACTTCATTTTCCAGTAACTAAGAGTCTTTCCCTGTCTGTAGATGTACTTTCAGTGAGTATATTTTCTTTCATAAAATGCTTCATCATTTCTAATCTTTTATTGTGAATAGCATTGACCCACCTTCTTCTTTTAAGCTTCGGTCTTGCTAGAGTTATTGCTCAAAGGCTAACCTTTAACAAAACTGTAATAAAGGACATATGTGATGCTGCATTGAATCTGCCAGAGATGATCCCAACTGCAATAAATCTACAAGCGATGAAGCTGGATGATTTCAGTTTTGGTTCTGCCCAGCACTTTTTCATTGCCAGTGAAATGATTAAAAAATGTCCCAAGCTATGCAAACTGGAAATCATCTCAAATCTGGTAGTTATATCCAACACTTAACCTATGCATACTAATCGACTTTAGATCATAAGAATATGATCTTTTAAGATTGAATCTGGAGCATTGGAGTTTAGATTTAATGGCTCAACAGACCGTACCAATATACAAAGGTTTACACAAATACTGCAGTATTTTTGTAATCAAAAAAACTTTTTTGCCATCACAAATAGGGTACTATTTGAAACATAATAGTGCTCGGACTTTAACAATAGTACATCATTTTGCATGATTCTCATTTCTCACAAGTAGTATCATTCTCAACATGGACTAACAATTTTAATATATTCGTGTGTGGCATGAGTCTAATATGCGTGTGTTTTAATACTGCATTCTTTCCATTGTGTTGCCAGGCATGTTGGATAGATGACGGTGCAAGTCTGTGGGAGGATCCCGTAGATGGTGGCTTTATTATTGATCATGATCTGGACATGCTTAAAAAAGTTAGCATAGATTCATTTTTTGGATATAAACGGGAAGAGATCTTTGTGAAAGCAATCCTTTCAAAGTCACCTGTGCTTGAGGAACTTGTTATCCGGCAATCAGCCAAAAGAGGTGACTCAGTGGCTTCCGAATTCAAAAATGAGATGCACTGCTTCCCTCGCGCTTCTTCAAAAGTGTGCATTGTCATTAATTATATGTAATGCCTCATTAGCGTAAAATGAGCATTGCTCAAATATACATACTAGTACATGTTTTTTAAACTACGAGCAGCACCCAGTGGCAGAATGAACATCTAACTTTTTTTAAAAACACACAAGTATAAGTATGCAAATTTAGTGTATTTATTATTCTTCAAGTTTTTAATTGTAGAAACATCATGAATTGTTAGTAGTTGTGTAACACTGACAAGTTTATGTGGATGTTTATGTGGTTGACTCTTCTAGTTTTGACCAGTTACATTGACATCTGTTTATTTGGGTCAATTAACGCAGCATGCATAAGCATTTCATTGTATAGAGACTATAGACTATAGACTATAGACTAATGTATGGATGGACTGGAAATCTGGAATGGGTCGGTTTGACTTGGGACCCGGTCCGGCCTGGAACTGTTCAGATCGATCCGACCCCGGGAAGCAACAGCCGGGCTACTGGGTCAAAATATGGTGGACCAGCCCAAACCCGGCCCAGTTCACCTTCTAGACTAATAGACTAAAGAGTAAGAGATTTTTAGGCTTCTCAACCAAAATTATATTCAACTGTTACAAAAGGGAGAAAAATATATGAACAGAAGTTCAGGAAGAGAGATTATAATATTCCTCCTTTCCTAAAAAAAAAGGATGACACCCCATCCCTGAGGGCCCTCCAACATCGACCGGACAGCACGATGGGAGGATGTAAGTTGGACTATAATCACAACCTGATAGATAGAGAGTGGGGCTCTGTCCTCGGTACTTGCAGAGGCCCTATGTATTTTTCAGCATAGTAACCCCTTATCGCAGTTGCCGAGATTCGAACCCGGGACCTAACCCTTGTGGCACTCCCTCGCTACCAGTTGAGCTACGCCCACCGGTAATATTCCTCCTTTCCTCTTCTCCATACTTCATCATTCCTCCCCTTCCACCCCCATCCCACCCCCCATAACACCACAATAAATTTGCAGCAATCCTCCTCTCCAAGGCCACAAATAAACACTTCACTCATAAAAATAATCTGCCACCACCTGGAAGGCTGGAAACGAGCAAGTTTTACTGTCACACAACAGATGAAACAATTTTTCAGCATCCAATCATCCATGCTAGAGCCCATATGCCATTATGCCCACATGCACTACAAGTATCACCAGTTTCCACTCTCCTTTATCTCAATTTTTTGGGAATTGCAAACCTCCACATAAGCTGCTAGAAAAAATTAAATTTGAAGTACATAAGGAACAATTCATGTGAAAAAAAGTTAAAATTGTCATGCTCAATAAGATCATCCAATTCAGCTAAAAAGGGATCCTAAACTGAATTCTTTTCTGAATTGATCGATTCTTCTGGGGATGCATGAACATGAATGATGCAGAATTATCTCGAGAGTATCTTGAAATGGTATTTTAATAATTTTTGACACTATCAAATGGTGACAGTCCATTTCCTGACTGATTCCACCTCAAGTCCCTTAAATTTCAACCTTAACCAGGACGAATTACAATTTATTTGACTTTTGGGGTCACCTTAGGTGTTGAGACAATTTTGGGAGTAATAGAAAATAGATCGGGATTTTACTGGTGCTAATTCTAGACTGAAATTTCGGGATAGTTTCACGTAAAAACAAATAGGACGTTTCACTTGTTCCCGTCTTAAAATAAATTAGATTTGAACAAACCAAACTAAGACCTATAATCAAACCAAAGCTTAGACAATTGGAAAATACACATATGACATACATTTACCAAACCTAAACACACAGGACCATAAAATTTCAGTAAAAGTGAAAATATTGTTTGTTCTCATCCATTTGCGTTCCAAGCCCAGAGCCCCAGACCATGTCCACCCTAAATGAAGATGGCTTCAAATATTCTTTTTTTTTTTAAAATAAAAAATGTAAGAGACCATAGATATTTTTTTGACCTCGTGGTAATCCAAAACCAAGAGGTTATGGTGTGAGGGCCAGAGAACACCTCACCTATTTATTTGATAAATGAAAAAGCACAAACAGTAGGACTAGACCAATCCTACTCAAAGTTCTCAAACATTAAAGAACATAAGGATAACTAATTGCATCAAATTTAATTATGTAAACAAATTGATTAAAATGATGAGTAATGTTTTAATCAGGTTGCTATGATAAGCCAAATACTCCGCAGCCTTGTTGATTCGGGGGTTGATGATGGTAATGGTCCAATCAAAGTATCTGATTTTTGCTTTTACTGTACGAATCCTCGACCAAACTTCCCAATGCTGGAGCTTTTGCCCAGTGATACCTTCAAAGATTTCTTGATTTTCCGTCTCAAGGACAACGTTTGATAGATTAAGTTTCTGCAAATGAGGTATAATATCAATAATCGCATCATATAAAGCCTTATTACAGTGATTATTCCTATCAAACTTAATTGGTATGGTGGGAAATATCGGTGCATCTGCTGTCACGAATGAGAGCAGCAGTGCACCCCAAACTGTTGGTAATCGATCGAAAAGCAAAATTAATTTTGATTGAATTACCATGTGCCTTGACCCAATGTTTGAGAATTGGTCTGTTATAGTTATTGTGGCTGGGTTAATTGATCTCAACTATTAGTAATGTTGCATTTTGGTACCTTAAATAGTACTAAATAGTGCATTTTTATCCCTAATTTAATTAATTGATATAATTAATTGTCCCTAGTTCTCTTGCATAACCAAAGTCATTTTATTGGTGGTGGAGCAGTCCGAGGACTACGGTGGTGAACTCTGGTGATGGAGGTGGATAGGAAGATCAGTAGCCAGGGACGGCTTGAGCACTTTAGAGGCCCTAGGCCAAAAATCAATCAATATTAGTAAATTATATCAATGTATTTTCTATAATAAAAAAGTCATTAGAAATGAAAAAAAATATTTTAACTCATTCAATTCAACAAACATTAGGTGGTCACTTTCATTATTAATATTCTCGTTTTAATAATTATTCTCATTCTAATAAAGAATGTTTATCATTGCCAATAACGATGAGCGATTTTATACCCAAAACTCTTCTCAGTTTCCTCTTTTTTTATACCATAAATCTTTGGTTTGCCCGTAATGACAAAACCTAACACGGAGTTTGTATATACTTATTAAAAAATCACAAACAAATGAGTCAACGGAGAAGCTATAGTTTATTTACAAATAAAATTATTACTAACAATCTTATAAATAAATAAAATATATACATTTCTACTAGTCTACTACCATCAAACAAGTAAAAATTACTTCAAAATTATACTAACTACATACAAACAAAAATACTTCGAGTATTTATAATTTATAGAATATCAATGTACAAAATTACTTAATAAATTACCTGAATCAATATCTCAATATTTTTAACTCAATAAGCTTTAATAATTAATCCTACCACATATCCTTGTTGCTTATTCCCTCTCAACTTCAGTGAGTCAGTGCGCACTAGGAATTGGGAATATGGAGGGAATAGATGTTTCGGTGTTTGCGGTTTATTTTTGGGACTTAGGAGAATGGAATTGCAGATGGCTAGATCTTTCATCACTTTCGAATGCTCATCAATTCATCCCGATTGTTTCTCAAGCGTCGGTGTCAAGCTCTAATTCCCTGATTTTGACCTCCAAACAATACAAAACTCGAACCAACACCCGATTAACATAATTTGAGCTAAAATTGAGACTTATGACACCTTAAAGCTAGGGAAACCATCAAAAACCGACCCCAACATGCATTAAATGCGTGTTGAAATATGAACTTATCAGATTTCGAATACCGGGAGTATGGAGTAATTTAATTAACAAAATTGATTTACTTTATTTACTGTGAAAATAAACTCTACCGAAAATCTGACATAATATGGGTGGACTTGGACGGGTCAGCCGGAACCGCCGAACCGGGACACGGCCTGGCCCACCACTTGTAAGGCCCGACCCAGTCCGGTGAATTGGGACCGGGACTGGGGGCCCAAACGGTGGATATTGGGGCGGGCTACGAGCTTAAGAATAGGTTAATCGACCCGGCCGGCCCGGGTTTTTTGTTTTTAACTTTTTGGCATTGGGCTGACTACTAGATGGGTTGAGTTGGGCGGTTTGGGGATGGGGAGGCGGGGGATGGAATTAATTCCAAAAGATCCAAAAAAAAATGGACCCGGCTCGGCCCGGTCCTGGGGCGGTATTGGGTCTCAATATTGTGGACCCGAAGCTCGCCCCAACCCGATCCAGACCCAGTCCACCCCTAGGCTGAAGTGGTTGTATTGGTTGATTCTGTTGGTTTATGAAAAAATTATACTCCCTCCGTCCTAAATTATCTTCCTATTTACCATTCACACTGTCAACTCAAATTACTTTTAATCATTTACCTTATATATCAAATTTTTATCAAATTTAAATTTTTTTATCAGACTTTGTAGCGGTTTTAATGTAGTTTCTGAATATGTAAATTTTATTTAATAAAAATAATTCGAGTGTGAATAGAGATCAAGTTGTTTTATCGTCAGTCAAACATCGTAAATCGTAAATTGAAGTTAAATATGGGACGGAGGTAGTATTAAAAATACTTCGTATATTTTATTAAAAAAATAAAGACTGTGAAAAAATAGTTAAAATGATCGTTTATAGTAACTTCAACCAATATAATCAGATCCAAAAGTAACTTTAATCTTACTTTTTTTTTATTACATTTTTCAACACGCGAAATAAAAAATACATGTATGATTAAAAAGGTGAGTGATAAACCTAATAAGTTGAAAACATTTAATCTTTCTTAGTCAATTTTAACCGTGAACGCTCTACGAAAAATCTTTGGGCAGAAAACGATCTTTCTCATAAATAGACACTGCCCATTAACCCCAAAAGAAAGCTAAGCCAGTCCTTTGCCATTTGGCTATTGCTACTTTCTCTCGGGTTTCAATGGTAAAGTTCACTCCGTATCTCTTTGTTAAGCCAGTCCATTGTCTTTTTCGCCTGGTTTCGCTGCCGTTTTACCTGGCGGACCTTTCTATCCAACCGCTGCTCGTTGGGTTGTAAGAGTATCTTCTCTCTGTTGGCCAATTTCATGGTTAACCGGACTCCAGTCTGAAGCTACTTCCTTTGTCTAGCTAAGAAAGAGCTGCTTTGGTTCTAATGGCTGCATTTCTTCCGAGCGAAAATGAATTGGATGGGGATAGAATTAGTCAACTTCCAGCAGATGTAAAGGACATGATTATGGAGTGTTTGGACACTCGTGATGCTGCCAGAGTAGGTGTGCTCTCAACTCAATGGAAGGATGTTTGGTTGAGACATGGTTGCCTTGTCTTTGATTCCTGCTTCTTTCGACGTAAACCCTCGACTTTCGTCAACATGGTAACGAACACTCTTATGCTTCGTTCAGGACCTGTTAGGAAATTTGAGTTCGTGAATGCTGCTGTGGATGTTAGGGATAGTTGGTGTAAGCCAAAGCAGTCTGATGTAGATCAATGGTGTCTTATCCTATCAAGAATTGGAATCGAGCAACTTACCATAAGTGTTGTGAATTTGACTGACGAAGGGTATTATAACCTTCCACAATGTATAATCTCCTGTTCCACACTTAAGCGACTGAAACTAGCTGGTTTTCTTTTCTACTGCTCTGTTAATGCTCGACTCAGTAGTATATTTACTAATGTCACATCTCTAGTTTTTGTGGGTGTCGTCTTTATCCATATTGTCCATGGAAGCACTATATCCATTGTTCCTAATCTTGAGGAGCTGGTTTTCGAGGCCTGTCAAGGGATCCATAATTTTTTGATCAGTGCTCCAAAACTTAAAAGCTTGACTGTTTTCTCTGGGTATGTTGCTGAATGGAAATGGTTTCAGCTTCATTTTCCAGTAACTAAGAGCCTTTCCCTGTCTCTAGATACTCTTTCAGATCCACTTTCAGTGAGTACATTTTCTTTCATAAAATGCTTCATCATTTGTAATCTTTTATTGTGAATAGCATTGACCCACCTTCTGGTTTTAAGCTTCAGTCTTGCTAGAGTTATTGCTTTGAGGCTAACCTTTAAAAAACTGTAATAAAGGATATACCTGATACTGCACTGAATGTGCAAGAGATGTTCCCAACTGCGATAAATCTACAAGCGATGAAGCTGGATGAGTTCTGTTTTGGTTCTGCCCAACACTTCTCCTTTGCCAGTGAAATGATTAAAAAATGTCCCAAGCTATGCAAACTGGAAATTATTTCAAATCAGGTTGTAATATCCAACACTTAACCTATGCATGCTAATCGACTTTGGATCATAAGAATATGATCTTTTAAGAATGAATCTGGAGCATTGGATTTTAGATTTAATGGCTCAACAGATCGTACCAATATATAAAGGTTTACCACAAATACTGCAGTATTTTTGTAATCAACTAAACTTTTTTTCCATCACAAATAGTGCACTACTTGAAACATAATAGTGTACTGTTTGAAACATAATAGTGCTCTAACATTAACAATAGTACATCATTTTGCATGATTCTCATTTCTCACAAGTAGTATCATTCTCACCATGCACTTACTATTTTAATACTTCGTATATCTGTGTGTGGCATGAGTCTGTTATGCTTATGTTTTAATACTGCATTCTTTCCATTGTGATGCAAGGTATGTTGGGTAGATGAGAGACCAAGTCTTTGGGAGGATCCTTTAGATGGTGGCTTTATTATTGATCATGATCTGGACATGCTTAAAACAGTGAGCATAGATTCATTTTTTGGATATAAACGGGAAGAGCTCTTTGTGAAAGCAATCCTTTCAAAGTCACCTGTGCTTGAGGAACTTGTTATCCGGCAATCAGCCAAAAGAGTTGACTCAGTGGCTTCGAAATTCAGAAATGAGATGCACTGCTTCCCTCGCGCTTCTTCAAAAGTGCGCATTGTCATTAATTATATGTAATGCCTCATTAGCGTAAAATGAGCATGCTCAAACATATATACATGTTTTTAAAGCTACGAGCAACATCCAGTGGCAGAATGAACATTTAAAATTTTGAAAAAAAACGCGCAAGTATGCATATGTAAATTTATGGATTTATTTATTATTCTTCAAGTTTTAATTGTAAAACATAATGAATTTTGTCGATATATGCAGTGTAGAAACATCATGAATTGTTAGTAGTGGCGTAACACCTGCCGACTGGGTAAGTTGGAAATTGTTAGTAAGATAAAGTGGTATTCTGTTTTCATGAACAATATAGAAATTTGAGCTACTGCATCATGGCATAGTGGCTATTTACGTGTTTGCCTCTAGTTTTGACCAGTTACTTTGATGTCCTTTTATTTGAGCTACTCATCATGCTTTTCTTTGTATAGGACTAAAGAGAGATTAATGTTCAAACTGTTATTAAATGGAGAAAAATATATTAACAGTTGTTCAGGAAAAGAGATTATATTATTCTTCTTTTCCTCTTCTCTATACTTCATCATTCCTCCTCTTCCACCCCCATACCACTCCCCCATAACACCACAATAAATTTGCAGCAATCCTCCTCTCAAAGGCCACAAATAAACACTCCAACAAATTGTTTTTGCCGCCACCTGGAAACAATTTTTCAGCGTCAATGCCACATGCCCACATGCACTACAAGTATCAGCAGTTTCCTTAATCTGAATGCATTATTCAAACCAGCATTGCGCCTCGCTATTACTGTTCCTTTGATTATTGAAAGACGCCTCTTATTTTCGGGTACTTCCTGATATACAAGCACGAGTACACCAAATTTATTGATTGTGGTTCTTTTAAGAGCAGTAGAATAATGTACAAAAGATCATCTTCAATTCTTTATCATAATTTATTGGACAAGGAAATAAACAATGTTTACCACTTTGAGCTGCAAAGTATAGCCAGGCCTTATATTAGGTATCTCTCTTTGAGTCTTCACTTCTTAACCTGCTTCTTTGTCCAAAATCTGCAACGCCAAGGCTCCAAATACACCATCCAGAGACGCAGATAGTAGTAGAGAACCCCATCACATGATTGGTTAATAATTCGATACCTGCATTATGTGTTTTGCTGTCTTATCGAGCCTCTTATATTTGATACGTGGAGTTGCTTGACAGTCAGGACTTGAAGCATCTCGGGAAATAGTATGCCCTGAGGTTGCCATGGTTGCAATTAACCTACTAGGAAAAATAGGTTGCATTGTGGATAGTTGTGAAAAGCAGAACCTATGAGCCCTATAATAAGATGGCAATGCAGCAATGCCATTTTCCGTAGTGTTCATAGGAAGCTCTTCTTTAGTTCCATGGTTTTGCTGAAAGTGTTCAGTTTTAAGAAAAGAGTTATTGCACAGAAGTCCAGAACCACAATATAACACAACAATGACCAAGCACGGCTATCTAGAAACTATGGTAACTGAAGATAATTGTGGGCATTTCTTTGTAGTAATTTCACATGTTTGCTCCATAACTCAGCAAAGGAATTCACTGAAGGCGTTTTTTTATCTTACTTTTAAAACTGTTTTTGCTCCTTCAATGAGCAAAAGCATATTGACGAGTGTTTTGGGTGAAGCTGTAGAAGCAATATGAATTGCTTCTGGCGGCTCCCCAAAAGCAGTTTTTGAGAAGCTTAGGGCAGACCAATTTCTTCAAAAAAAAATGATTCTTCTGGTTGACTATTAAGTGTAAGCATATGATTAAAGCGTAAAACATTAGCGTAAATATCCATGTGAATATTAAACATAAGTGTAAATATAAATGTGTTTGGGTTTTCATTAGCATTTAGTTTTGTTCAAATTGATTAAACATTTCAAGTTCTCACAAGAATAAGAATGTTATAAAACAATTATTTATTGATTCTACATAATAAACTCAATATTCAAATTAGTTTTGTTCTAATTGCTTTGTAGTCTTAAAAATTCCACAGTAAAATATAAATATTCCCTCCATGTTACACCCCAAGCTCTCTGCTGACGTCGCATTGCCACACTAGGCAAGTAGGATAAACCTCAGGTTACCCCACTATATTCTATGATTCTATCTCATTCATATTTAAGCACGGCTCTATGGGTTATGGGTAGCACTTGTCATATGCTTTTTAAGAGAAGTTCTAATGCTTTGGACATAACAAAAAAATGTTTGTACTCTAGAATTTTAGAAAGAATCAATATCATTGCAAGGAAAATGAAATATATAAAATGAGAAGAAAGAAGCAAGTGTTACTTGATATTTAGGTGATACTGCATTTACCCACACAAACATCATGGCCATACATCTATATTCTAATTCTAATCTCATATATATAGGCAGGTTAATCACTAGCTTTAGCATTAGATAACCAAATCCTCATTCGAAAATTCCATCTTGTATTAAGATTTTAAAACTGCACCTCAACTCCTAAGTGCAATAATATGGATGCATAAAAAATGGATATGATTTTCCACCCTTGCCAAATAAAACTAGTGTTAGTATAAAATGAAAACATATCGTGTATAGCAATTACAAAGAAGAATGAAGTTGGGCTTGTTACAAAGTTGCTTCATTAAAGTCAAAGTGAGTGGGTGGCAGATGAAACATAAGCACAACCTGTGTATAGTTGGGAGGGTTCTTTTGCAACTCAGACACAACCAATTCGATATCTTTCTTAGAATCTCGCAACAGCTGAGCCTTTGCCTTCTCTCCCAAATACATACGTAGTATTTGTTTTCCTTCTCAGGATCTGGTCATTGTACAGAAAATACTGGGCAACTTAATTCCAATTGGGGCAAGCACACTCATGAACAAGAGCTCGAGGCCAGGGGCGGAGCTACCCTATTGCTTAAGGGGGCCACGGCCCCTCCCCAAGTTTTTTATTTTTTTGTAATATTATTATTATATTTTGTTTTGCCCCCCCTCCCCCCAACAAATAATGCATACGGTGTAACTAGATGTCTAGATCAATTCAAAGATAAAATCCTACTGCATAGTGAGGTTGTTTTGGCCAACTAAAAAACATACTCGTATTATATATATAAAAAAGATCCTCCTAATGCGTAAATATCGAGTAGTTTGTGCAGGAGGTCTAGTTATTTTATTGAATCGTTGATGTTTAAATCTCTATTTTTGAAAGCTTTGAAGCTTTCAAGTTATTAAAACACATAATAAGGAAAAAACATATTGTTATTGCCAAAAGCTTGTTGGTATATATCAATATAGAATTGTCGTTACCTCCTCATAAACTATATATCACATACTTTCTCCATTCTTAAATAAGTATAATAATCTATTTTAACTTTTGACAATGCATAACTTTGACCATTAATTTACATTATCCTTTATGATTAAAAAAAGTTAAAAAACAAATTTGAAAATTTACAATAACACAAATTTATCAATACTTTTTTAAAAATAATTTATTAATACATTTATAAATAAAGCATTGTCAAAGTAGAACATGTGAGTACTGTAAAATTCAACATGTTGCACTTATTTAAGAACGGAGGAAGTATATTTTTTCAATTTTTTCGTTTTTTAGAATGTAATGTATAACATACAATTTTCCTTTATGTAGTGATTGCTTTTTTATATTATATTTCGCCCCCCCTCATAGTGAAGTCTGGCTCCGCCCCTGCTCGAGGCTTTACCGGAATTTTAATTTTGAATATTTCGTCTTGTCTTGGCAGATGTAGAATTGGTTCCTCCACATAGACCTTTGTCTGAAGAAATAGTAATGATGACATTCTTCACATCAACACCTATTTTAGCAACAAAAAGGGGATAACAGAGGTAAACAGACAGATGGTCAGCTGAGCCTTAGATTCTTTTTTTGGGGGGGAGGAGGAGAAGTGTAATTTTGTTCACCTCCTCATTTGGAGGGTGAACATAACCCTCAAGTATTTTAATATTAAAGGTACATCACATTGTCCTTTTCTCCCATTATGCCCATTCTCTTCTATATATACGTAGGAGTATATACGTATTCCGGAGTTTGTAGCTTGGTTTTAGAAATGACATCTAGGATGTGAGGTCACTTTAATTTGTAACCATATCCTTTTAATTTCTTTCTCCTTATTTTGTTAAAGTGTTAAACCATACGAAGTACTCGTATCATTTCTGCCCCCATCTTCTCAGTTTCTAAATTTAAATTTCAGACATCCATATTTAGGGTTATATTGAATATGGATTGTGGTAGACTCATAAACTTTTAACAAATTAATAGACTTTTAAATTCATATTTTAAAAAATCAATTCCATTGGCTTTAAAGTCATGGATAAATTTATAGACTTCAAAATGTCCATGATTTTTTAAATTCAGACTGTCACTGTCTATTATAATTTTTTTTATCTAAATCGTCGCTACTGATTTGCTTTTCCACCTCCGTCACCCGAGATTGCCGCCATCGTGATTGGACTGATCCGCCACAAATCAAATAACTTTGATTATGCAAGAGAATTAGGGGAAATTAATTATACATAGTATATATTAATTAGGGAAATTTGCAATTTTCATCCCATAACTTTGGGTTGTTTCCATTATTAGTCTCGTAACTTTAGTCACTTGCAAAGTTGGTCCTGTAACTAATTAATATTTACCATTTAAGGACTTTTTCTCTGAAAATTTCACTTTCCAGTGATAATATTCCGGAAAAGATGCCACCTGTGTTGAATTTTTCTGCCTGAAAGCATACATTCCGATGAAAAAGTTCTTAAATTACAAACATTTATTAGGTACATGACCAAATTTGCAAGTGACTAGAGTTATAAGACTAATAACGGTATGAGTCGAAAGTTACAGGACTAAAATTGTAAATTTTCACATTAATTAATTAAATTAGGGATATAAATGTAATAATTAGTCCTACTTAAGGAAAATTAAACATATGATCATACTTTTGTGGGGGAAATGTGATGTTTTAGTCCTACCATGACATATGTATAGTATGATAAGAAACAATTAAATATATAAATGAAACAAATGTAGTTCATCTAGCAACGCAGAGTTCTACAAGAATAACTATTAAAAAGAAAACTCAAAGTTTCAAGAATGCTCAACCATTTCGGTGTCTTTATAATCAATTTTTATTGTTATATTATACAAATCAATGAGTAAGAACATTTATCGTTACAAAAGCGTTACATTCATAGTTTTCTTTTTGTTCTTAACTTGTTAAATTTTGTATACTTATATACGGTTATATATTTATTAATTTGAAATTATAATTTTATGTGTTAGTGGTTTAACGATTAAACACAGTAATAGTTAAAATATTTTTTTCTTAATTGTTAACTGATCGACGACGTATCAGAATTGCACTTATGTATATAATATTATCGATTCTTATATCAGTTCTTCTAAAACTTCCAGAGTTGAATCAATATGGGATTAACGGTTCTTCAAATGGTTCCTAATTTTCTTTCAAGAACTGGACGGATCTCACCCTTACATTTTCCTTCATAAGAAGACACATGAAATATCATTTTTTAAGTTTATCTTGTGTATCAGTATAATGTATAAATCTCCTCGTTCAACTTTATTTATTGTAAAATAATAACAAATCAAAATTTAATGTTCAAATCTTGTATATTGAGACCATCTTGGTACCTACATCCTGACCAAACCGGTACTAGTCCAGGACTTGTTGACCGATTTGTGATTCCGGGTAAATAATTAGCCTAATCTGCAACTAGATCTATGCGTACTCGTGACGAGTAGAAGATAACACAAAAGTACATGGAATTCTTCGGTGAGGAGAAGTGACAATTGCATAAATTAACGTACTAAGAATGAGTTAAATTTTCACGAGAATCCATGAATTTAGAAGTCAATAACAATGAGCGAAAATTTGAATACACCTAAACTTTTATAGTTTTTAAAAATTTACATCAAATACCACTCGACTTTTGTAGACTTTTAGAAGCCCACATCGAATACTTTAAACTTTTACTCCCTACTATATATTGAAATTCAGTTCACTATAATACTACGAGAACTTTTCTTAACGTCAGAATTAGCTGAATCTGTTAAAATAAAATATGTTTGAGGCGGTTCAATAAGTTGAATATACTAAATTATTTAAAAAAAAATTTAAAATATACGTTATTCGATTATTTTTGTTAAAATCAAGATTAGAATTTGTATTACGAAGTATATACGATAGTCTGCCAAATTTAAAAGAAAAACGTTTTGCATCGTTAAATTAAAAAAATACTTCGTCATAATAAAAATCCTTGCAAAAGCAAATTGGGAGTAAAGATGTTTTTACTTGGACTTTAATTTGTCCCAGAAGAGACCGGACCAGACCAGACTTAGATAGTTATAAAAATACAAAGAAATCAGATCAGACTAGTTCAGACCAGACCAGATCAGATCAAACCAGACCAGCAAATTAGAGTCTAAGTAAAAACATCTTTAATCCGTAAGCCTCTAAGAGTGTAAGGTACTCCTCCGTATAAAACTAAAATGGCCCCCACTACCCCACTATGTCTAATCTAAATGAGTACACTACTACTCAATACGAAAGATGCCTGGTTACCAATTAAAGAAGGGAAATCCGTATACTTTTAATATTAAAAAATTAGAGGGTTATATTCACCCTCCAAATGGGAGGTGAACAAAATTAAACTCGGGGAGGAGATACTGAGCATATCAAGGAGAAAAGAACTCATAGTCAGCTCATAGAGGGTTAGTAGGTAACACATTCCTAACCACAAAAATTAACAACTACTCCGTATTTGACTCTTAGATTTCTGTTACCACTATAACCAGCTAGCCAATAGGCATTACTGAAAGTATCCTTTCTAACAAAGAGAGTGGAACACATAACCTCTTAGATTTCTGTTACCACTATAACCAGCTAGCCAATAGGCATTACTGAAAGTATCCTTTCTAACAAATAGAGTGGAACACATAACAGGCAAAAGCTCCTTTAAGTATTTGTGGATAAGGACAAGCAAGTAACAAGAAAATAATGTTTAGCCGTGTTTTATGATGTGCATATTGAATTTAAGGTATCAATTTTACAATTCCAATTACAATTCCAATTTATGATTCTCAATTTCTCATGCATATTATTGGAATATTAAGAACACTTCTTGTGACTCACGAATACCCTCTTTTGTTGTGACTCACGAATACCCCCCTCTTTTGTAGACAAACGTTGCAATTCAGAAATCAATTCTTTATTCCGATAAGTTTCATGTGATTAAACAAGGCAGGAGTTATTTAAAAAGTATTGGTGAACGTGTGTACCTTTAAGACTCTTTATCTTCAATTATTTTGATAAAATGTTATATATCCAATTTACTTTGAAATCATTTTTTTTTTATTTTCCATTCCTTACTCTTTAAAGTATCAATATTTTTTCCTAGAGTACTTCAAATATAAAATAAAAGTATTTTTCAACTGCCTAAACATAAAATGTAATAGATTTAAGGATGTTTTTACTTGGATTGTAATTTGCTGGTCTGGTCTGGTCTGATCTGGTCTGGTCTGATCTGGTCTGGTCTGGTTTATTTGTATTTTTTAACTATCCAGGTCTGGTCTGGGACGAATTACAGTCCAAGTAAAAACATCCTAAATGTCACCGTGTGAAATTTTTTGAATAAAAAACTAACCGTAGAACCCAACACTATCAAAAAATCATCTCACTACACAACTACACTAGCGAAATAAATTTTGCCTCATACACTAACAAAAAAAAAGTTTTGTCCTTACTTAAAATCCTAGATCCTCCCCCCATATAAACTCGAATTCATTGTTCCTCATGGTCATTCATCATGTTCTAAGCCCCCGCCATTGCAATCAAACATAAAAACAGAACAAAGAAAATGGGATTTCGAGTATTTTTCTTGCCTCTTTACTTAAAAAATCATACCGGAGTCAGTGTTCTAAAAGGCTTGAAAAGGCGCCGCCTGGGCGGGCCTAAGCGCAAGGCGTCATGCAAACGCCCCGCACCACCTAAATGCATAAAAAAGGAGGCCCACAAAGGTCGGCCCATAAAATTTGACTAACAAGCTCCAAGACAGCCGTCCACAGCAATGGGGAAAAGCGCCTATCCTAACGTAAGAGAAGAGTCCGTATTTATAGCAATGCTGGAATGACAAATCTCAACTTCATCCGGTGTGGGAAATGAAGTAGCACTTCGTCCTGCAGTAGACTTGGGAAATGAAGTAGCATCCGGTGTGGGAACCATAGGATGTTGCAACTTGCAATCACAATTGCTAACCAAACTTCAAATTACAATCTACTCTTTTAAATATCAACATTATTATTATTATTATTATTAATATGTACTTATTATTATTAGAAATGTTTACATATTAATGACTAAAATAAAAATTGTTTAACAGGAAAAGGGAACTTTTAAGTGTAAAAATTTTAGTCATAGTAACTTATATTCAATTTTTACCTTTTAAGTGACATGACATGATAATACAATAACATGTAGTCATATTTTATAAATAAGTCTTATTTGAGTAATATTTTTGAAAATAATTCTTATTATTATTATTATTATTAATATTTTTAAACCTCTTACTACAAATATTTCTATTATTCAACTAATTTTCCGGCCTTTCCAGCTATATGAATGTTTCACTATATCTATTATTGATAAATTTTAAAACTTTTGTATTTTATTTTGTAGGGAAATTCAAAATATGATATTTTTGTATGATATTATCACATATCACATATCACATTTATATAATTAATGATACCTCTAGAAAATTAAAATAATGAATAAACTTTACAAATGCCTTTCCACGCCTAATCCCCGCCTAAGCCCGCCTAGGCTCCAAAGGCTTAAGGCTTGGACGTGCCGCCTCG